CTCTCAGACTGCAGGTTTACTTGTGGTTCCTCCAGTTTCTAAHAGTAGAATGGGAGGCAGAGCTTTCAGTTATCAAGCTCCTCTYTTGTRGAACCAACTTCCAGTTTCTGTCTGTGAGGCTGACACTCTGTCTACTTTTAAGATTAGACTGAAGACTTTCCTTTTTTGATAAATCATATAGTTAGACTTAGGTTTCCTGGATTACTCTACATTTCTACTGCTACAGTATAGGACTCAGACTGCTGGAGCACAAACTGAGCACATATCCACACTCTGCTGTTGTCTTTAGTCTCTCTCCTCAATGTTTATTGTAATTATTTCTATCAATATCAGGTTTTTTCATTGCCTCTTCCAGAAGAAGGTGCACCTGGACCAGTCCTGAACCGGTTCTTCTGTGTTTCTCTGTTTCTTTCCTGTCCTCCAACCAGCCGGTCGAGGCAGATGGCCGCCTGTCCTGAGCCTGGTCCTGCTGGAGGTTTCTTCCTGATTAGCAGGGAGTTTTTCCTCTCCACCGTTTGCTCAGGATGGGAGACTGTGATGAAGTGATTCAACACAATCTGCTGGCTTCTTCTTTAGATTGTTCTTTTAATGTACAGTGTCCTGAGACAACGTATGTTGTGACTTGGCGCTATATAAATAAACTGAATTTAACTGAATAAAAGATTGTTTTTTTTCCTCAATGAGAATGGAAGTACCCCTTAAACAATTCATTCACATTTTACGTCTCCTTTGTCTGCACCTCACAAGTATGTGTCCAACAATACGTGTTTATATCTACATGTGACAACAACCTCTACCATTTMCACTGAACTGAGGTTTATTCAGTCATTTTTGAGAAAACATCATAATAAAATAAAAGTTCAGAAAACYGAATGGTCGTATTTCCTTGTATTTRGCTGAGTTTCAGTACTTTGTAATTTAATACTGTTGAATGAAAAAGATTGCATGCAGGTGAGCATATTCACACAGCAGGTGAAAGGTTTGTGTATTTTTATGAATCCTATCATGTAACGTTTGTTTTGATATATCCTGACTTTCTTGTGGAACCTGGCACACAATCTTTTTGTGGGTACACACTGTTTACACAAAAGCCCCTSAACTCAAGATCATAATGTAAGTACTGAGTCCTTCAACCTCAGGGTTAGGTGTCTGTGGTACAACAGTCCACACAAGTGGCATTTCTTAGAACCCACCTGCTTTTGCGTTTGCAGACACACACGATGGTTGTCACAATGATAATGACAGTAACTGGGACCAAGACCGCAATGAGAATGATCCATTTGGTATCTGAAAAAGAACATTTATAATGAATAAATAGAAACAAAACCTTTTCTTTTAGATAAATTTGTTTGTGTTAGCCAAAAATGAAATAAGATTAAAACTCTTGTGATGTACATTATGTACACATTCGATTATTTTTTCTTCAACGTATCATTAAAATTCATTCTGTGGTTCATGAGTTATTTTACTAACWATCACATGCATTCACAYACARCAYAATGCTGTRTAACAATGTCAATCTTTCTGCTTTAGCAAGRAARATTTTCAGTTTGCCATCAGAATTTGGAATGATTCATACCCAGCCCTTCACTTGKTTTTTTCTCCACTTCACAGTGTAGACCCTCAAAGCCCTCTGCACATTCACAAGTGTATGTGTCGTCAGCTCCGTCAACGCAGGTCCCATGGTTCTGACAGGGTGAACTCAAGCAGGGACTTGCTGCAACACACACCAACACACAGGTCACATGAAGCCTCCATTCAGGTTTAAAGCCCATTTCTATGTTCATGGTGATGACTGTGGCCTAAAACCTTTGTAGCAGTCCCGTTTGAAATTGAAGATGGTGCAGATGTATCCCTCCTGGCAGGTCTTGGGCTGGCACGCAGCCCCTGTTCTGGTACACTCACAGGACTGAGAACAGTCTTCTGTTACAAACTTCTCACCGAGCTGCAGAAAGGAAAAGAGGAATGAGTTCAGACAGACAGACAGACAGACAGACAGACAGACAGACAGACAGACAGACAGACAGACAGACAGACAGAACTCACAGGGTAGTATCGGTTCAGAAAGGTGCAGCCACACTCTGGGTATGGAACACACATCCCCTCACTCATGACAAATCCCGCAGCACACTGACACCCTTCCACACAGGATGTGGTCTCACACTCAGAGGGGGCGGCCATGTYGGCGCAGGATGCTGGACATGCTGACATACAGGAGGAGTATGTGCTGTTGGCACCACAGTGAAGATCTGAAAGGCAAAGACTGAGAGTTAGATGTGTGAGACACAAAACACACTCAAAAACTGAAATTCATCTCATATAACGTTAAGCCCAAAAATGTTGGGATGTTGTTTAAGATGTAAATAAAACCAGAATGCAATGATGTGAAAATAAAATATTTTATTCACAATGAAACATAATAAACTTAATGAGAATTTGTTCATTTTTTTCCCCCCAAATGAGACCCTTTTAAAATTGAAAGCTGCAACACGTACGGTTGGGACATGGGGAAACAAAAGGATTTAAACATTAATTGATATTTATATGAAATAGCATTCTCGACTAGTTGTGTTCATTGGTAGCAGGTCAATAACAGGACTGGTTTAAAATGTCTATTTTAGAGAGGCTGAATCTCTGAGAATTAAAGCAGGGCAGAGGTTCACCATGGTGAAAACTGTTTCTAAAACTGGAACATTTTCAGTGTGAAGCTCTATTTTTTGTTTGTGTATTCTGTGTTTTTTGTCCTTTGTGCTTTGTTTTAGTATCTGATTACTCTGTGTCAGCGTAATTTACCTCTTCTCTCCGTGGCACACCTGATCCTTGTGTTCCTTCCCAGGTGTTCTCAGTAGTCCCTTCATTTACTCACCTTCAGATTTCATGTCCTGTCCACTCCCCTGTGGCTCCATCGCTTCATTGTGTTTTCCAGAGTAGTCTAATGTTTTCCTTTGTCTTGTCCCGCCGGGCATTAAGTTATATATATTAATAAGTTTTTAGCTGCCACATTAGTGCACTTTTTATTAAATAAACGTTTTACATTTTGAACCTGAAGCACACAGTGTTTTTGTGCCTGCCTCCTGGGTTCATCTTTGCAAAACATGACATTAAGAATTGTTCCTCAACACAAATGTGGGAAAAGTTTGAATATCCCATCATCTTCAGTGAATAATATTAAAAGATTTGAAGGCTCTGAAGAAATGTCTGAGCTCATGAGGCTGATGGTCACGAGCTCAGGGACACTTCCACTCACTGGACCTCAGGTAAGAACATGTTCGTATTCTTATCCTAAATTTCTCTTACTTTTGTTCGTACAAAGGGTTCGTATGAACATGTCACGTCAGATTCAACAAACTCTTCTATCTTCAGGRRAAGTGTGTAAATGAGCTGTGTAAATTACACCCGTTCGTATCCAGCTGCTCGTGCACGAGGACAGGTTATTTACATAATTACCACCCCAAAAACACCATATAAGGCTATGTTTCCTCTGCCCGGCATACCAGGAAGTGTCCATTCATAAATGACATCGCAAAGTAAAAAAGAAGAACTTTATGAGTTCGGAGATTAAAGTCCTGCTGTCAGAGACCCAGAAAAAAAAAATCGGTCATTTTCAGCAGCATCAGACCTGCTAAAGATGAGGAATGAAATGACGACTGCTGTTAAAGTCGTGTCTCCTGTGGGTCGTGTACAGACACAGAAATAAAAATCTAAATCATATTCATCTCTCTCTAGTCCAGCTCCGGTTTTTCTTTGGTCAAATATTTTTAATTCAAGTGTAAACAACTGTGCTACATAGKTTTCATTTATTCAGAAGAAGAGCAGTCGCGCAGCGCTTCCACAATGTTTTCTCTTCATTTCTTTGAGTGTTCCTGAAAGCCAMCAAGTTGCACTTTGGAATGACCTTATTATTGTATCATGTTTTTGATCTGAGTTTGTTTTACAGAATGAAATGTCTGAATGAGTGCTCATCCAAGACTGGTGATTCCATACTTTTTGCCAGGGGTTGTAATAAATGAAACGTTCAAGCCCACCGTATGTTTTTTTTTTTTTTTTTGGGAGGGGTTGCATGCACTCACCAGCTGAGTATATTTGATATTTTCTTCAAAAGCCACACACAAATATCTGCCTTTTAGTCCAACATTGTGGACGGTTTTATTTTTTTAACCTTTGTTTCTTTTGTATTTTTCTGATTAAACCTGTTTTCCACATCTTATAACTGAGAATAACAGTCAGGTGGGGAGGAGGACAGCTGTAATCTCTGTCTCCTCAGTTCATCTCAGACCCCTAGTGGTAACTCTGAACCACTGAAGAGTCSTCTGGAGCAGTCTGAACTTTTCAGGAGAGTAAGAGTGATTCTTAGACTTAAGAATTTTCATAACTGTCACTTACACTTAAGTCTGAGAGTTGGAGCAAATCTGAGAATTTTTCAGCACTTAAGTCTAAAAATCCACTCTAAGAAGTTTTATAAAWACAGGCCCTGATGTTTTACAGCAGGAAGCATGACACTGCTACAACTGTTTTGATTTTCCTAAAAACTGAATATTTTTTAAACATTTAATCTATTTACTATGTCCCATTGTGAATAAAATGAGTTTAGAGGATTTATTTTCATTGATTTCTGTTTATAATTTACATTTAACACAAAGTCCAAGCTTTTAGGAGATAGGATTGTAGTTTTCAGGTCCAGGCCCTGATTTCATGCCAACTCTTACCACAGTCCAGCTGCTGCCTCCAGGATCCCAGTTTGACTCCGGCCTCCTGACAGGCTGCAGCGTACGCTTCATAACTGCCACAGCGCAGCTCTTCACTGCCTTGCTCCGCACACAGGTCGAACACACAGTCACTGAAGGGACAGAGGCAAATGACATACTCAGATATTTTCTGTGACTAAATCTTAGAAGAAACAACATTTATTTCCCTGTCAAGATTAAAGTCAAATTGTTGATTAAAATAAAATCAAAACAAAAAAAGGTTTAAATAATATTTGCAATATATTCTTCTCATTTTGTAAGTATTCTGCCATTCTCCTATGAAATTTGTTTAGACTTTTATATAAATATTTTATATTTTTATTCTAGAAATAAAATTTGAACTTCTGTGACAAAAAAATCTAACTATTTCTGTTAAAAATGACTTTTCTGTTGTTATT